TCCTCCCCTCCTCTTCTGTTCTACCTCCCCTCCTCCCCTTCCCCTCTTACTCCCCTCCCTTCCTCCCCTCCCCCCCCGCATGCGCTGCCGCGGCGGGCGCCCACGCGCGCGCCACGGGGGGGGGGACGTCCACCACCAGGCAGCGCCGAAAGGGGTATGCTCCGATCAATTACGCGACGAAGGGGGTAGGGGCAGGGGGGAAGGTGTCTTAGAAGCACCCCTGGTTCCTGGAAGGCGCGGGCCTTGTCTGCAGATGCAGGGCCAGCACCTTCCAAGCAGCAGCCTCCTTCTAAGGAGCCTTCCCCCCTCCCCCTTGCGCGCACCGCCAATCCGACCTGGGGAGCCGTGAGATCCTGGCGTCTCAGTTTTTGTTGGTTTCGAGCCGGGCGCTTCCGCCCTGGTTCTCAGGGCCCCGGGGCCCTCGCAGGTCGATTGGGCTCGAAAAATGGCGCAGGAGGATGGGGTCGGAGGCTCCTACGGCGTTACAGGCCTCGGAGTGCAGTGAGCTGCTCGACCCTGTGAGAGCGAGCTGCTGGATCTCCGCCCAACGCTAGCCCCGGGCGTGTTTTTTTTTCGCTGCGTCGGATTTCAAGGGACGCCCAAAGATGGCCTCCCCTGACGGCCTCTTGGCGGCCCTTTGTGCCCCCACTGGGCCCAGCGAGTGCTCGCGCGCGGCTGCGCCCGACGAGGGGGGGAGGGGGGGGCACCATTCAGGCTGGCACGATCGATCTGGGGCAACAGCAGGGGTGGAGGGGTTCAGGGGAGGAACGCATCGACCCCCAATCGCCCATTCATCGCCGATAGGAGGAGGAGGAGGAGGAGGAGGAGGAGGAGGAGGAAGGAGGAGGAGGAGGAAGAGGAAGAGGAGGAGGAGCAGCAAGAGCAGGAGGAGGAGGAGAGGGAGGAGGAGGAGGAGGAGGAGGAGGAGGAGGAGGAGGAGGAGGAGGAGGAGGAGGGGTGGGAGGAGGTACACCCCGCCAGGGAGCGTGCGAATTCGGTGTCCCAGAGCCTGTCGCCCATCTCTATCGGCGACGCACCGCCGATGCCAACTCGATGTCTTCCCCCTGAGCCCGTCCCCCCTATCGTTAAGTCGGGCCTGTCCCTCTACATGAGGAAATGTGCAAAATAGCTGAAAAATAGTCTGGGAACGATTTTTCTATTATTCGTTTGTAATTAATGTTGCATCTGTTTAACGCTTCGTTGCAAAATCCGCCTGTAGGAGGACACGCCCGACCTAGCCCTACCGTTCCCCCCCAATCGAAATGGGGACGGAAAGAGTGGGGACGAAGAACAGCCGTTTTGATTGTCCAGTTTGAATTTCACTTTGAACCAGATTCGCTGTAGGTGTAGCCGCTGAAATTGCCCATTTGGTACACAACGTCGCTTGCCGAAAGAGGCCGCTGTCGTTTTGGAGTAAAGTTTGCTGCTGGGCATCGTGTTCATTTTTCCCGTATCCACTTCGGGCGTGCCAATCAGGGCCTTCGTCATTTTCCCAGACCCCATCGCGTCATGAAGAAGTCGTTGCGGGAGGGAGGGAGAGGGGGAGGGGCAACGTTCGGCTTTTAGGGGGCTTTACCGGGCCCAGGGCCGTAAGACAAACATTCGGGGAGGATCGAGATTTGTGGGGGTATGCAGATCGAGGGTTTCAGACGTTCTTGACTTCTCCTGGGCCAGAGGATGGGGCAGAGTAGTATTGAAGGAATAGTATAGGAGGAGGAAGAGGAGGAGGAGGAAGTATATTTTTCGCAGGGGTAGAATCAACAAGAAAGAGGACAAAGATGGGGAGCATAAACACGACGACGAGGGGAAGGGTGATAAACAGGAGAGTGCAAGGAGTTAGGATAGAAGCGTGAGGAGGAGGAGGAGGAGGAGGAGGAGAAAAGCCACCCGCGAGTCTCCATGCGCGCGTGCGTCGAAATCCTTCCAAACCAGTGCTGTCCTGAGCATGTCGGCACCGAAGTGCTCCAAAGTGTGCGAGAACAAGATGGGCTTATAGTAAAGTTATGCTCGAAATTCAGAGATTATGCGAGCACGCAGCTCCTCACCGTTCTCGCTAGCACAATCGTTGCCATCATCGTCAGAGGCATCATTCCCATCGTCATCTTCCCCATCACCATGGACGTCATCATCACCACTGTCCTCATCGTCGGTGTCGTCGCCCTCGTCAAGTTTCTGCGCGCACGCTTCATCATCCTCAGCAGCTCCATAGCTATCATCATCAGCAGCAGCATCATCATCACCATCATCATGATCATCGGCTTCATCATCACCATCGTCGTCGACATCTGCCCTGCCTTCGTCGCAAACATCGTCGTCGTCGTTGTCACCGCCAAGGTGAGTTTGTGCATAAGTTGCGGGTGGGTGGATGGGATGTTTACATGAGAGCTGGAGGTGGTCACGCACGGATGCGGACAACATTCTATGCAGCACACAGAGCGCACCGCTTGTTGCACACCGCAGCATGCACCACATACATGTCATCCCGCAGCTTGCACCACATAGTTTGCACCACATCGATTGCATCGCACATGTTGCACCACCTATCACACCATAATACAGTTTGCACTACAGAGGACGGGCATCGAGATTGCAAGAACACACTGTTCAGAGTCCACGGTGGCCAACATATGTTGTACATATATACATAGATATATGTATACAGACATGTGTTTCGTCAGGTGTGCAAGTGTAAATGCCCACGTGTGACTTCAACATATATATATATACATCGATACATACATGTATGCCTGCATGCATGTGCTGTGCATATACAAACATACACGTTGGCACAGGCATACTCGACAGCGCTAGATGGGTAAAAGAAAAGTTGGGGAAACCAACATATATATATATATAGAGAGAGAGAGAGAGAGCGAGAACACAGCAAAATGTTGCGTGTTCTGGCCAGAATGTCGAGGTGGATGCAGTCGTGGTCGCGAGGGCGCCCCTGGAGGCCCAAGACGCGCCCAAGAACACCCGAATACCTTCTTATCTTCTATGCTCCCCAGCCTCCGCCACGACCCCCGCTCCTCCTCGATCCACGACAAAGATCTTCGATCTGATTCCCTTCTCCACCCCGCTCCCTCCTCGGCGCTGCCCTTCCCTGGGGCGACGCGAGGCCCACTTAGAGTGAAGGGGCTCCATCTGGTGGGCCGCCAGTTGGACTTGACCTCCTCTCCGGCGAAGTGAAGCCCACTCTGGCTCGGGGGTCAACGCAAACGGGGGCCAGTCGGAGCGCCGGATCCTGCAGTCTCCTGCAAGGCCAGGGACGCACTGCCCCAGGCGTGGGTGCAGGACCCTGCAGGAGTTTGCAGGATCTGGCCAGGCCTGACTGACCTGGGTCTGGATTGACCAGGGTCAGTAGATCCCCGACAGGATTTGGTCGGGCGTGTCCCCCTACAGGCAGATCTTGGGCGAAAATTTGCAGAGAATCAGGAAATACCCCGAAATTGTCAACAACAAAAAAAAAGTCCACGGAGTATTTTTTACCATTCTGGAATATTCCTCCTTGGTAGAGGGACAGGCCCGACTTGACGATAGGAGCAAGCCCAGTTGGAGCCGAGGGGCTCACCTGGCGGGCCCCCGCCTCCGCCGGAACACTGCGGCAGGTTCGCGCCGCACCGGCGCGGCGGCGGTCCCAGCGCGGGCGTGCAAGGCTGCACGCCGCCAGCGGCCCAGTATCATGTCGGGCGTGTCCCCCTACAGGGGGATTTTCGACGAAAAATAACAAGTACCCCAAAAATGCCCCAAAAAGGTTAAAAATCAATACTCAAAAAATAGTCCCTGTACTATTTTTGGATTATTTTTGGAGTATTTTTCCCCGTCGAAAACCCCCTTGTAGGGGGACACGCCCGACTTAAGCCCAGTATCGGGCGACATCGAGTGTTGTGCGCAAGTGGAGAGCCACGATCGTGCAGGGCGGAGCTATCCGCGCGGCCTCGGAGACCACCGCGCCAGCCGTCGCCACGAGGAGCCTGCCGCGGCCCTCCCCCCGAGCCTGCCCCAGCCCCGCCCCGCCCGCAGCTTGCAGGACGAGGACGCCTCGGTGGCCGTGCTCCTGGAAGGGAAGGGAAGGGAAGGGAGCCACGGGCGCGACGGGTCCTTCCTCCTCCTCCTCTTCCTCCTCCTCGCCCTCCTCCTCACCCTCCTCCTCCTCCTCCTCCTCCTCCTCCACCTCCTCCTCCTCCTCCTCCTCCTTTCCTCCTCCTCCTCCTCCTCCTCCTCCTCCTCCTCCTCCTCCTCCTCCTCCTCCTCCTCCTCCTCCTCCTCCTCCTCCTCCTCCTCCTCCTATTCCTTTCACGGCAAGCATCGGCATAAGCCTAGCGTGCGATGGCGGCGGCAACAGCAGCCGCCCGCAGCGGCGTCGCAGGTGAGTCCCCCCCACCACCACCCATAGGTCCACCCATGACCCAACCACTATGCAGTGCCACGGGCGGCCACAAGGCCTCCTCCTCCTCTCCTCCTCCTCCTCTCGCCCTCCTCCTCACCCTCCTCCCCTTCTCCTCCTCCGCCCTCGCCCTTCTCCTCATCCTCCTCCTCCTCCTCCTCCTCCTCCTCCCTCCTCCTCCTCCTCCTCCTCCTCCTCCCTCCTCCTCCTCGCCCTTCTCCTCCTCCTCCTCCTCCTCCTCCTCCTCCTCCTCCTCCTCCTCCTCCTCCTCCAAGGCCCAAGCAACCGCTGGGCTGCACCGCCAAGCAGCTTCAGGACGCCATGAAGTCGATTGGCTTCGTCCGCCGAGCTGCGCAGCTGGCCG